GAGAGCTCAATTCTTGAATTTCAGGTGATAAAATTGAGAGAAGAAGTGTAGAGAGAATGATGAGTTTGAAAGGAGAGGATTAGAATTTGAGAAAGAAGAGAAAACTTCAAAAAATAGAGAGTTGTTTTGCCAAAATAGTGAAGTTGTCTTAGCCTCGATAAATCTTATCTTCCATTGCAAAACACCACTCAAGAAATTCATTAAAACCAAGTCCTAAAACTTTGATCACAGAGAGTAATCCTTACCAAGTTCAAGAAACTTAAAGAGTGACCATTTCCTATAAACATACTTGTCCAAAGACACCATTTGTCACGACCCAAACCCGCCTCCATAGGTTTAGCATTGTAACTGGCCAGTAATCCTAGGATTACCGATAGCCTATGAAATAGATCAACAAAATAAGGGGATAGCGAAAGAAAATATCAAACATACAATGTCCATAGAGTTGTGCAGACATATATGGAACATAAATTTTAACCTTAGATACATATATGTGACGCTATATATATGCATCAGTCCTTCGTCACCTTCATATATAGATTAAACAAAATGGGACTTAGCCCAATATATGGAGTATGCAACAACTTGTTCAGACACAAACAAAAAGAAATGAAACTGAATTCACAAATTCGACCACTCAAAGCATTTCGAGAACCTCCTTGGGAAGCGCATAAGTTGGCCGACACAAAACAAATCCAGGCAGTAGCTTAGGCTTGATCACAGACCTGATCACCTACATACATAAATAATATAGTGGGCTGGAGCCCAGTGAATAATAACAGATTAAAGGTTTTATAAATGATGTCTACAATAGATTCAAAAATTAGAATTCAGATCAGAAACAGATTCATATACATATTCAGATTCTCACAGATAATCATACGTGGTACATCCATTAGCGTTAATAAATCTGATGGCTCATGAATACATGAGAGGCACAAATGACCTATAAAGGGACCAGATGACCCATAAAGGGACAGAATGACCCATAAAGGGACGTATGTAGAGCAAATAACTAGTTATGCATAACCAACCCTGGTACCAAGTAACATATAACATATCACATGATGCTAAGGATGCCACAATACATTTAAGAAAATTGGATATTCATTCATGATTCACAAACTCACATTTCAGAAAGCAGATCATATCATATTAGTAAAAAAATACTTAAAGTTGAACATAGCTTTACAGAGTTATTACTCACAGATGGCTCTAGTAACATAACAGACAGAGTAAACAGATCAGACGAACTATGGTGCTTGACCTACACAAACACGCTCTGCCGATGCTTAACTTATTACTTTTCTTTCTTGGTGTATTTTTAATCCTTATCCTCATTATTATAGCTTAATCATGGCTTAGGAAGGCCTAGGATGCAATGAGGATGTCAAAATGCATTTGAAAACACTTAGCCAAATTTCTGAAAATAGGGTAGTTTGCTCGAGCAAGGCTTTGATCACTCGAGCGGTTTGCAAAGTCTATAAAAGTACTAGATGCTCACGTTTCATGCTCGAGCCAACTTTTGGTTGCTCGAGCCAACCCCCTAAACTCTACAAAACTTTTTGAGAGCGTGAATTTTACGCTCGAGCGGTGAGACCAAATTTTGGAATTTCCAAATTGTTGTTCAAGATGCAAAACTCAATTTCAAAGCCTCAAAACACATTCTTTAGGCCCAAAACTTGAGAAAACATGTAGAAAATCATAGAACTTCATGAATTGAAAGTCGTTTCACAAAATCAAAACCCAAAAGCAAGCCAATTGTTCAAAATCAAACTTGAAATGTTTATGTATATAACATGCACGTATTAACATGGTTTCTTTCTTTCAAAACACGATCCAAGACATGATCAAATGAGATAAAATGGTATGGAATGTAATGAATTCTCAAAACAAGGTTAAAACAATGACATGTATGGAAGAATTCTTAGAAAACAAACTCAAATTATGATGAAATGAGCATGCATGCATGATTTGCTTCCCAATTCTACTTAGCTTGAATTATGCATTAACCAACTTGATTCTCTTGGATTCTCATGTAAGCTAACTTAATGTCTTAAATTCAAGATTGAATTTCTTACCCAGGCTCTCAATTCTCTTGAATCTTAGCTATTCCTTGTATGATTTTTCCAATTCTTTCAATTTTCCAAGTAATTCTTCATCTTCAAGCTTTGATCTCAATGTTCTTTCTTCTCTCCCTCTCTCTACGTTTTTGTTAAAAACGATGACAGCAATGAAGTGTTTTTTAGGCTTCTAGAATCAATTAGCCTTATATAGGCTCAATTTGTGGAGAGAAATTAATCCTTGATTAAGCTAATCAATTGGCATTATTTTATTCTAATTATTTGATTCTGAATCAAATTCTAATTAAACCTACTATAAAATTCTAAAAATCCCAAATAACACGTATACCTAGGCAATTTCATGTTTGAACGCCGGTGCCTTTAATTCGCATATTGAAACAGAAATTCAAACAGATATTCCTACGTCAAACAGATATAAGCACAATTAACACAAAACACATGCAATTATCTCAGAATTCTTCTTAATTACTCATTAGGCATTCTTAGTCATGATTTATTAACTAATCACTGGTCAGGGTTGTTACACCATTCTAGTTCAAATTCCAAGCTTTGGTATTTAGGATTGAGAACATACTTCACAACTTTGAGGGTGATCAAAAGGAAGTTTGGAAATCACGAAGTCCATTCTTTCTTTGGAAAATGAATTTTTAATTTCTTTCATTTTCTTGCATTTTCTATCTTATATTTGTTTTCTTTCTTTGATTTCATATTATTTTTGTTATCATCTAACGAGAAATGGTTAGTTGAGCCACCTACATATTTCTCGTTTGCTCATTTCTCGGTGTTGCAACAAAATAAGTTTTGCTAGGCCTAGTTGGCCGGTTAGCTAATTATTTGGCCAGTTGGTTAACTTCTTCTGAACGGAACAGAGTAGTCTTCCGGCGTTGAGCATAATGGTTTCCGGCAATCATCAAGACCTACATCTTCTGTTTTCTTTTCATTTGAGAATTTTGTGAGGTTTCTATTTCGTTGTAATATTTTTTCCTCTTCTCTCTTATTCGAAGTGTAATTATTCAAGTGTTGTAATAATTTCTCGCCCCACTTCTTTATATCCCGTTCTTTTACTTGCTTTGTTTTATTTGTACATATACATCTTATTTTTTCTTTTCATCATATCCATGCTTTGTATCCATGTTTCATACATATTGATTCGGCGAAATTTGCATTTATGGATTTAATCAATTCTTATGTGATTATGTGTGCTACCTCATGTTCTTGAGATGATTCACATGTCATATATTAGAAGCTGAATCTTTAGTTGCATCTGATGTGTGAATTGCATTAGGATTTTGTATATAAGATCATGTATATTTTACTAACTTTGTTTTGTAGCTGTTTGTAGGACATCAGTAAATATGTAAGTTTTTATGCTTTAGCATCCCACTTGTATGTGTTTTTCTTACTATATTTAGCATTCTACTATGAGACTATTTGGTTATTTGATATAACTCTATGAATTCCGATGGATGGTGGTTATGTCGCTTAATTTCGAATGATGTTGATTTTCATGTTTGTAAACTCAATTTCTTTGAGTTGTACATTTTCAAAACCCTTTCAAAATGCATGAAATCAAGTTGTTCCAAAATGAATGACATAGTTTATACTTGTTTGCTTCATATAGTAATTTTTAGGATTTGTTAACTAATCGGAACATGAATATATAAAGTAAATAAAACTTATATTATGGTTTAGTAGAGGCTGGTCTTTTGATCAGGTGAGTAGGGATGCTCAGTTAATGCCCTTCCCTCCTATACCTAAGGTTCCAACCCAAGATATCTTTGGTTACGACGGACAATGGCCTTAGCACGAGTCATGGGTTTCCTAATTTCCTAAAATATTAGGTAGCGATTCTAAGATCTAGTGATGTAGTCCATTTTTGGAAAATGTTTTGCAATAAATTGGATTTTCTATAAAAGTTGCCAGATTTGGATTCTCATTTATCTTTGACATTGCACTCACGAGACTATATCAAAGAGTTCGAGGGTCTAAACTGCTTAACACGTGCGGGTACATCCTGAGCGATGTTACAGGTACATTTGTTTGTTAGGAAAAATCAGGACAATGCCTACACCAACCCTTTTACCTATTTTAGATCCATCAAACATCAGCCTCTAGGGATCAGTTTCTATCATATCAACCCCAAACAGATCTGGTTCAACAGGTAGACATGGATGTTCTGGTAGAAAATCTGTTAGAGCATGTCCTTTCACTGCTCTCTGTGGCACATATTTGAAATAATATTCAATCGAGGCCGAAATCCATTTTCCTTGTCTGCCTCTTAAAATAGGCTTAAACAACATGTATTTTATCACATCAATTTGTGCCACAACAAATACCTCTGAAGGCAGCATATAATGCCTAAGTTTTATGGTAGTAAAGTATAAAACCAAGCACAACTTCTCAACAGAGGTATACCTAGTTTCAGCATCATTCAACCTCTTACTTAAGAAATAAATGGCTTGTTCATGGCCCATATCATTTTCTTGGGCCAGCAAACAACCAATCGATAGGTCACATACTAAAATGTAAAGCTTTAAAGGCTTTCCTGAAATAGATGGCATAAGAACTAGAGGATTGGCCAAGTTACTCTTGATCAAATTAAAAGCTTTTTGGTGACATTCCTTCCACCTAAACTCATAATCTGACTTTATTTCTACCAAGGAAGAAAATACTAGAGTTTTTCTAGCTAGATTTACAATAAATCTTCTTAGGAAATTGATTTTGCCAAGAAAACTCTATAATTCTTTCTTGTTGTTTAGGGGTTTGGCTTCCAATATAGCCTCGGCTTTATTAGCACCTACTTCTATGCCTTTATGATGCACCAAAAAGCCCAAGAATTTACCTACAGTTACCCCAAAGGCACATTTCAAAGGTTTTATCTTTAACTGATGATTCCTCCTTCTTTAAAATGTCTACCTTAGATGAATTAGATGTTCCTCAAATATTTCAGTCTTCATAGCCACATCATCAATATATACCTCTAAAAACCTTCAAATTTGATCATAGAATATGAAATTCATTGCTCTTTGGTATGTAGTTCCAGCATTTTTCAAACTCAAAGGCATTACTACCCATTCAAATGTGCCTAAGGCTCCAGGACATCTAAAAGCAGTCTTATGGATGTCTTCTAGTTAATGAAAATTTGATTATACCCAGCATGCCCATCCACGAAGGATAAAACCTTGCTTTTGGCTGCTGAAGCAACTAAAAATCAAGATATTCATCATTTGGAGTCGCTAGATTCAAGTTCCTAAAATCTATGCACACTCTCAACTTTCTATTTTTCTTTATAACAAGTACAATATTCGACAGCCATTCAACATATCTGGTTATTCTGATGAAACCTACCTTAAATAACCACTCAATTTCTTCTTTAACTAACAAAGTCACTTCATTAGCCATTTTTCTTGGAGGTTTTTTATGTGGAATGAGGTTATCTTTTATTGGTAACTTGTGTTTTACTAGTGTTCTATCCAATCTAGGCATCTCTTCATAACTCCTAGCAAAACAATCCACGTTCTCATATAGCTAACCAACCAGTTTGCCTTTACTCTCATTAGATAAACTAGCATTTACATAGATTGGCCTTTTGTAGGCCTCAATTCCTAAGTTGAATTCCTCTAAGGGATCTTGAACATCTGCTTCGAGGTCATCAAGCAGCAAGAGCAGCTCTCAAATGCTCCAAATGCACCTTTTTATAACTCAGAAGGCTATTGTCTATTACAGATTTTGCCCATGAACAATTAGTCTAAGACTTAAACTTTAACCTACTTACTGAAAAGAAATTAAAAAGCCTAGAAAAAGTAGAGTTAATTACAAGAGTTGTACCTGTCTCATCCAGCTTGTCTTCTTCACTTGTTTGCATCTGCATCATCTGTTCCCTCTATCATTTCTTCAATCACAAGCCCCTTCATTTTCTGCATAGGGCTTGGTTTGGCCAATTCCTCGCCCATTTGCTTGAATCAAATGATGCTCTTGGATTCTTCATTAGTTAGGCATTTTCCTTGGGATTTGACCTCATCTTCAACCACCTCAATTGGGTCTATGTCTTCATCATACAACACAAGCTCTATGTTGTTGACATCTGCTACAAATGGATTTGCATCTGCCCAATAGATCTTCATTCCCTTCCCTTCATCATATTCATTGTTAGTCAAGAATATTAAAGCTTGATGCAAAGAGGATGGCACACACTGTAGACACCCCATTTTTGACCGACCTTAAGACTTAGATGTCATCGATTGAGCGCTTGGTGATTGCGCATGTTGTGCTCGTTCTGAGGTTTCGGAGTTTCGACTGAGGTCCTTACCCCCAGACCTCGAGACCCTTTTATGTTTTGCCTCAGTTTGCTGACCAAGTCATGCTTTCTCTTCCTGGAGGGAGAGAGAGGTCATGTAGACCATCTCTCAGTGGCCGTAGGCTACTTTTCATGGTCACAGGCCACTGTTTCCCGTTTGGAGACTAGTTTCCGGTTTTCAGAGCCGTCGGCCGCGCGCATCAGTTCGGGGTCGCTTAACATTCTCTGTTTGGCACGATTTTTGGCACACGCCTTGTTTCCTCTGTCTAGAGGGACACTGCGGCCCTGGAGACCACCTTTGTGGTCGCACGCCACTTTTGGTGCTTAACAGCCTGTTTTCGGGCCACCCGACCTCGCGTTTTGCCCCCTGAACCCTCGTTTCGCATCGGTGTTGGTTCATTTTTGGCATAAACCTTGTTTTCATTGTTTGGAAGGTGGTACAAGGGTGGGAGACCACCTTTTCTCTTGGAGACCACTTCTCTCTCCGCCAGCCAATTTTCTTGTCGAGAAACTGGTCTCCTTGATTTTTGAGCCGCATTTGCTGGTCTCCCACCATACCACTAGCTTGTATTCAGTTGGGAGACCATCAAATGGGCTGGCCGATCACTTTTCCTTCAGGGAGACCACTCACCCTGGTCGGTCGACCAGGGGAAGTGGTCGGCCAACCACCTTAACTGGTCGGCCTGCTCCCTCCAGTTTTGTCTCTGTGAGTTGTTGCCAACTGTACCAATTGGAAGGCACAGACTGCATCCTCCATACACGTGTATGGAGGATCTTTGGCCTTGGTTTTCTAGCTTCTTTGAGAAGCTTTGGCCTTTTTTGTCTATAAGGGAAGGCCTTCCCCTCCTTTGTGAGGGTTCAGATTTTGGTTAAGGCATATACACATATCTCTCTCTTTGTCTCTATATTTAGGCTTAGGAAGTGTATTGTTCTTGATCCTTTTGCACCACACCTCATAGCCTAACACTTCCACCATCAACCCAAGGTTCTTGGAGGTCATTTTTAGAGGTTAAGGAGCTGGGTTTTTGGTCCAGAAGTTGCTGTCTTTGTTGAGCTTCAAGGGTAACTCATTTTCTCCCTTTTTAAGCATTATTTTGATCCTTCTCTTAGCCTCATTTGCATGCTTATTTGAGGTTTGTTGTCAACTGAAAAAGCTTTATTTTTAAGCATTATTCATGTTTGTTTAAGGCCATTTTCTTGTTGGAGGTCATCTACCCTCTTGCATGCTTCATTTAGTCTTGTTTTGAGCCATGCCTTAAGGCCTTTGTGTTGAACTTTGCTTGGCCTTTTAGCCACTTAAATCTAGTGGATTTTCAGTGGTTGGCATGTTGTTTTGAGGGCCAAAATCAGAGAGGAGTGACCCTCTCTCTTTTGGCCTTGTTTGTTTGCATATTTGGCCTTTCCAAGGAGCCTATATTTTCATACTTCCTAACCTTGGTTCAGGCCATTTTTAGTGACTTCTAGGACCTGCATAGGCTCTGACCATGGCTTGTTTGGTCCCCTTTTTCTTGCTTCTTGCATGTGTAGAGTAATCCCTTCTCATGGCTTATCAAAGGAGCATGTCATTCTTGCATGTATTGGTCTTGTTTTAGTGGGGTTTTGGCCATCATTTGGCATGCCATGATTCTGTTTTAGCTTGGTTTGGTAGTCCTTCACATACTTCATATGCTTGTAGTGTAACTCATGTTCACTATCTCAGAATGCATGTTGTTTTGGCCCTCTATTCTAGCATATTTTGGCCATGATCCAAACTGATTTTGTTCATATTTGGCCTACCTTAGCTCTGTTTTGAGGCCTCTTGGTCAAATGATGATTGCCATGCACACTTGTAGTGTAAATCCCTTAAACTAGCTTTATATGCTTCATGCCTTGACATGTCATTCTAGTTTGTTTTCTTTCCATTTCAGCATGTTTTTGGTGATTTTTTACCATGTCATGACTCTATTTTCATTTGGTTTGGTTGGCCTTTGCATGCTCCATGCACTTGCCATGCAATCCCATGAAATAGCCTAACATGCATCATGTGGGCACATGTCTTTTTAGCATGCTTTTGGCTTGACTTCAAGAAGACTTTGTTCATGTTTTTCCATGTTTAAAGTCTAATTTTGGTTGTCTTGGTCATCCATGACTTGTTTTGTATAGCTTTGGTTCAACCTAGCTTGCTTGCTTTGTGCATCGGGTCCACTAGCATGCATTACTTGGCTCATTTCAATGATTTGGAATCTTTAGTTATACTATTTCAGTCCATGTTTCGTGGCCGTGCACTTGCATTTGTCACTCAATCAATGCATTGGAGGGTTCCCCCTTTATGCCTTAACATGAGCCATTGTGTATGCATTCTTGCCTTTGCTTGAGAGCCATCATTTCAGTGCTTATTTGGGGTTATTTTGCCATTATATAACTCTGATTTTTGTTGGTGGAGTCATCCCATGCTTGGTCCTAATAGGTGTAGTGTAATCCACCTTATTTGCCTTGTATGCATTATGCCTCATGCCCCTCATGCTAGCACAATTTGGCTTCCATCCATGCATGTTTTAGTCTCATATTAACATGTACTAAGACTGTTTTTGGTTGCCTTAATCACATGCTTCACGTTTTGTATACCTGTAGTGTAAATGCTCTTGCTTGCCTCAAGCTTTGAGCACCATTGCATGCTTTATTTGTGTTGTGTACTTGATTTGGCATCACTTAACCATCACATTTCAGAACATATAGACTTTCCATGTTCTCACTTCATTCATGTTTTGAATGCCTTTGATGGTTATGCATTGTTGCCTAGTTCATGCCCTAGTGTGTATGCTTGCACGCCTAGGACTTTGGGCCCTCATCTTAGCATATTTTGGTCTTTGTTAAGACCTATTCCACTCTATCCATGCTTAGTTCATGCATATTTTCCATGCATTGCATGCCTCATGTGTAGTCCTCTTTGATAGCTCTCATGCCTTAGGACCCTTGCATGCTCTACTTGCTTTGTTTGAATGATTTGGCAACATTTCTTACTTAATTTCAGCGCACTTAGTGTCTTTACACTTGCACATTTGTCACTCTTTGAGCACTCTTGAGAGTTGTGCTCTTGGGCCTCTTGTATTGGCCAATGCATTGTACATGCATGCTTTGTATTTTGTGCCTTCATTTCATCTCATTGGCCGCTGATTTGGGTGTGGCTGAGGCCCATCCATTTTGGTTTAAGTCTATTTTGCATTGAGTATGCCATTGTAGTTCATAGCATTGAGTATGCCATATTGTCGCATGATTGATCATTGCATTGTGCATGCCTTGTTCATCTCATTGTATATGTTAGTTTCCATGTGCATTGCATATGCTAATGTCATGAGCATTGTGCATGCCATGTAGTTTTAGCAATGTGTATGCTAGGTGCATGTTTGCATGTTCATCCTTTGAATGTTTGCATGGCTAAGTGGCATTGCATTAGGATTGCCTGCTAGAGTTGCATCGGTGCATGCCATGTTTGTTGCATTGTGTTTGGGATAGGAGTTAGCCCAAACACGGGAAACAAGGGACGTTTCATACTCGAAGTGATGAAACGTGCCTCGCCCGACGCTGACACCTCTTGATTACACATGATGGAGTTTAGACATTTATGTGTTCAATTGTGGCATTCAGTCTATATTAGGTTGTGCAATTCGGTTCCTCGGCCATCATGCATCGAGATGCGTGATTGTGGCCTGAGGATCGAGACCTACACTCCCTTGAGCTTGTACAATGATGGGGAGAGTGGTCGTGCACACATATGTTGAAAATACCTTGCCATGCCTCTCTCTTGCTCCTTGTTGCAGAAACTAGAGGCAGAAACTGGTCGGCCGACCAACTTTTCTGGCAGGCGGACCACCCCTTTTGGTTTCTCCCACAAAAGGAGGTCGGCAGGTGGCCTCCAAGGCCAATAGCTAGTCGGCAGCCTTCCCACAGATTCCCAGGGTGGAGTTTCAGCCTTCTGGAGCCTTGTGCAGTGTTCTGAGGTTAATTGCAAACAAAGGCAAGTCGGGGCGTCGCGAGGGATTTTCAAACAAGGCAATTCAAGCATGCATGCATCCTTCATCATCCAAGGCAGAGCTGAGGTAGTCCACATTCATGTAGCTTGCATGCTAGTTTAATTGCTTACTTAGTTAGTTTGTTAATTAATTAGAGTTGTGTAACAATTAGCTGTAATTTATTATTCATTTTGGTTGTGTAATACCTAGCTTAATTAGATTAGCTTAGATTAGCTAGTTGGTTCTATATTATTCATTCAAACCCTCTGAGAGAGGGCAATGTTGTAATAAGTGTTCGTGTGTGTGATGTATGTCTTCCAACCCCATGTCCTTCTCCATTTCATTTACCAGCTTATGATGGTTAGTTTTAGGGCACGTTTCAATTAGCATCCTTATGCTCGTATGTTTGCATCCATTCATCTGTTTTGCATGCACCGGGCTCGGCGCATCATACTAACTGCACCGTATTTCAATTCCAAGTTAAATACATGTTACATGTAGCATCTCATATGCCATCTTAGAATAGCCGAGCCTATCTTAGTCGCATTCTTGCATGTGTTGCATTAGGCATCTCCGCATAATTAGGATTCATGCATGTTTTCTAATTAGCTTCTTTTTTTGGCTCGAAGTACTCAGTAAGTGTTTATGCTTTAGCATCCTTGCATGC